CATGTTATTGTTGGAGGCAGCCAAGTCACTGTGGTGTCCTTGTTCGGCTGTCCCTTGCATTTACACGATGGAGCGTTAATCAATTCTTTGGAGGCACATGGGAAAGTTTTCGGTCAGCCGACAAGGAAAACGGTCAAGCATGGAGATTATGCTATCGAAACAGGAACCAGGCAGATTCGAATCAGCTTGCAGAAAGGAGTACCGAGTACGCTGAGAGTAGGTAGTGTCACTGTACGTACATGGTACCCTGGCCAAGTACAGACATGCTACCTCTGTACACAGACTGGCCACGAGGCAAGGTACTGTCCAACACGCAAGAATAGCAACCAGGCGTACGCAGGGGCCGAGGGTCAAAGCAGCCAGACCCAGGCAACCCCAAACACGCATGCAGGAGAGAAAGCACTGTACTCACAGGTCACACAAGGTCAGAGCAATACGCAAGAACGGCATGGAAATACCGTAGCGAACACAAATGAAAGTGCTGAAGGCGGACAACAGGAAAAAGACGCATCAACCCCAGGCCGGGGAGAAATACACCCGACCGAACACAAGGGAAAGCACCCTGGGATCTCAGAAACCTCACAGCAGGAAAACGATACCTCCAGCACAGAGCAGAATGAACAGGCCGCGAGCCAAGATACTCCACCTCCCCTGGACCAGGAAAGCGGAGGGACGCAGGATCTCGACACATCAGAAAGCCCACGAACCGAGAAAACCATGGACACATGCACTGGTAATGACAAATCTAGAGAAGTAGACCTAGATTCAAGTAACAACAAGCCTGGAGAAGCAGACCTAGACTCGAAGCCCAATGACCAACGAATCAGCGAGGATGAAAGCCTCCCAAGTGCATCTAGCCGCAGGCCAAGCAGGTCCGCACAGAAACCAGCGACCCAACGAGCCACACCTGGCAACGCCAAGAAGCCTCCCAGAGGAAGTACAAGCAATACGACAGTACCCAGGAAAACCCAAATGTAATGATTCGGTCTCAATCTCGACGCAGCGCCCTTCTACCCTCAGACCCCGCACGCATGCCCCCACACAGACCAGTGACGGTCCTAAACCCTCTCGCTGCGCCATTTACTGTCAACGCACAAGCATTTAACTTTTCATCTCTCCTCCCCGATATAAAGCCCCATTCCCAAATACGCATTGCACCTCTTAATACATGCAGCTGGCTTTCTAAAGCTGAAGAAGTCTCTAATCTATTCGCTACAGCCCACTTGCACGTACTAGGTATAACCGAAACCTGGCTCCAACAACACGTACCTGATGCCCTTCTTCTACCATCCCCGCATCACCACATTCTCCGTAAGGACCGAAGCCAGGGTACAACCCGTCGCGGGGGAGGCGTTGCCTTCCTCATCCACCCATCTGTACGTTATTCCCACCGGCCAGACCTGCAGCCTAGCGATCCCAGTGTAGAAATTATTTGTGTTGAACTGTTCACTGGCCGCAGTCGTACCATTCTCTTCTGTTGCTATACTAGCCTATAGACCCCCATGGCAGGATCCTGCCCACTTTTCCCGCAATCTGCAGGCATGCATCGAGCTAGTTCAAGACCCCGCAGCGACAGCTATAGTAATTGGTGACTTCAATGCGCGGCTCAGCCGCTGGCTACCATCTGATCCCAATGGCCCTGCTGGAGCAATTCTTTCCAATGTGTTTAACTCCACAAACCTTACACAACTGGTTCGCCAGCCCACTCGATACTCAGTAGCTGGACAAACCTCTTCTCTTCCGGACCTTGTCGCAACTACCGACCCAACAGCAGCTAGGAACCAGTGGGTACTACCTCCAGTATCCGACCACTGCCCTGTGATTGTAGATTTTGAGTATAACTCCAAACAGAAGCACGTAGCGAGCCCTAGGTCCTCGGCGTTGATATACAATTATTCAAAGGTAGACTGGAATGAACTTAATCATGCCATTGCCAATCTAAACCTACTCAGATCAGTCACAACATCGACTAGTATCGAAGAGGCTTGGTTAAAGTGGTCTCACAAAGTTGAAGAAGTTGTAAAGCAGTATGTACCGCAGAGACAAGCCCTCCATCCTCGCAACAGCCGCCATTGGTTCTGTGCAAAACACCACCGTCTCCGTCGACACCGTGACCGCCTTTTTACTACAGCTAAACGATCTGGCAGAGCAACGGACTGGGTAGTCTACCGCCTTGCAAGGAATGCGTTCACTGCCGAAATTCGCAAAGCAAAGCGACGTTTTTACGCTAACATGTCGGCCAGTCTTGAGGAAAACCGTGGCGGATACAAGTGGTGGCAGAGAGCCAAACAACTATGCAATCTTACTAAGCCTCGGGCTCCGATTCCTGATCTGTCAGATGGAATTTTGACGGCTACAAGTGATCTAGAGAAGGCTGACTTGCTAGCTCGCCTATTCTCTCAGTATTCTTCACCTCCTTCTAAGCCCCCGGACTGCACACAGCTACCCACAGTCACGGTTGTCGAGCCCTTCGAATTTCAGCAATTGAGTACCACTAGTGTTCTTTGGACTCTATCACACCTTCCCCGGTACAAACGCACGTCTGGACCCCTCCCTAATCGAATCCTTCGAGAAACAGCTCCCAGTATTTCTGATTCACTAACAGCTATATTTAACCTCAGTATCACCTCTGGCATGGTTCCATCAGATTGAAAAACCTCTATTGTTATCCCAGTATACAAAGGTTCAGGAAGCAAAGGCAGTCCTGGCTCTTATCACCCCATTTCCCTGCTCCACGGAGTTGCGAAGGTGTTCGAAAGCATGGTGAGCAAGAAACTGACTACATTTGTGGAGGCCAATACCCTCCTCCGTACGCACCAGTTCGGGTTTCGCCGGCAGCGGTCTACCACTGACCAACTAGTCCAAATGACGTCCTCAATAAGAAGAGCCTTTGACAGCAAAGCTTTGTGCGACGGACTCTACCTGGACTTATCAAAGGCATTCGATAAAGCCAGCCATTCTGTCCTGTTGCATCTTCTCTCCTCATTCTGCTCATCATCTTCAGTCAAATGGCTCGGATCCTTTGTCTGTGGACGCTCTATTTATGTTCAAATTGGTGATCAAGTTTCATCCCTACATCCGTTGGGGGCAGGAGTGCCGCAGGGTTCTCATCTAGGCCCACTCCCATTTAACATACTGATCGACAGTATCCAAACAGTGACTACCAACACATTGAGCCTTTTTGCGGATGACTCCAACATTCTGTGCATTTCCCCATCGACTACCACAATTACGGCTCACTTGTCTCAGATTGAGACTGATCTAGCAGCGTGTATCTCTTGGGCTGAACATTCTGGATCAACTTTTAACGTAAGTAAGTGCGCCCATATTGTATTCCACTCAGGCAGGACCACGGCAGCAGAGCGAACTGTTCAGATGAATGAAGCTAGCCTATGTCGACCTGAGGCTCATCGCCATCTTGGAGTCATATTAACCCCCTCCCTAGATTTCCGTGAGCACATTCGTTCCATTATCTCTAAATTTCGTAGCAGAGTGTTCTTGCTTAGTCGTAGGGCTCTTTTCTTTCCTCCATCGATCATTTCTATCTTGTATAAGTCATACGTTCGCCCTACCCTAGAGTACTCTATCCCCGTCTGGTTTTCCTCTCTGACGGTCCAAGACCAGGATAGTATGAGTAGGCTCCAAGCATCTGCAGCCAGAGGATATCTTGCCGCTAAATTAGGGAGGAAGCCAGATTGGATGACTCCAAAAGAAAATCTTAACCAGCGTGCAGGCTGGGAAGCTATAAAATGGCGATTACAGATCCTTTCATTATGCTATTTTCACCACATTGTCTACACCTTTCCTTCTGTTCTCTTTGATTTCAAATTTCGATTTTCATCTGTACACTGTACTGGTTAGTTCAGTTTGCACGAGCAGGCTGTGCCGGTCAGTTCAGTGTCCGTAAAATTTGTGTCTAAGGTCCATAGCGCAACTCTGCGTGACCATGAGAGCATTTTGACATACATATTGTTGTTGTGGGTTCATGTTTGGATAATTAGAATGTCCGGATAATTAGACGTTTTTCCTGGCATTTTGAGGTTCGAATTATCAGGATTTCACCTGTAGTAGTATGCCTTGCGGACAAATTGGCAATCGTACAACCACCCAAGCACCTTTCTCTCAACAACAAGAGGAGAGAACTCAGTGTCTCAAAGGGCGCCAAGAGAATAAGTACTACCTTCGGAACTTCGTACCACCAACAGGAATCACCTAATCAAGTGGCAGACAAGCAGCTCCAATGCTTGTCACTTGAAAATTCACGCCATGATGGAATCTTTCACCACTGCTGTCATTCACTTGATAATCCTAGTTTATTCACAAGGCCAATTACATGAACCATGAAACCATGAAGTCTCATTCACACCTTTACTTTGTGGGTCAGGATGCATATTTATTTTTCTCATTGCTGTTGTCTGCGGACCGCCTAGTGTGTGAAACCCGGAGTAACAACACAGTTATTTTGTTCATCCTCTTCATCTTGTTGACAGTAGCTCTGCCCTTCTGTATTGGGCACTCTACTGGGCAGTCTACTGGGCAGCCTGGACCTTTCTGTTTTCCAGCCAGCCATTCAAGAAATCGGCCTAGTGTAAACCAGGCTTTTAAAACACTCATCTAGCCAGCCATTCAAAAATCGGCCCAGTGTGTAGATCTACCTGTGTTCAACGATGAGGTATTGTGCGTGGGATCGGGGAGTTTAACGATTCCGTTTTCATCATTTGCCCCCGCCAAGTAACTAGTTGCCTACCAGATTTGTACTTGTAGCACCAGTCCTGCTCCCGGGATCCCTCTTACAGATACAGATCAGCACGGGCACTGCAGCCTGGCACTTGCAAAGCACTATGCCGCCAACAGTAATCAGTTAATTTATGCATGACAAACGACAGAGTAGCCTTGCAAGGTGGATCCACATGGCCCACAATCAATGTTTTGCTCTCAAAGGTCACACAATAATAAAGTAAACGACTGGTGAACAGCTGCGCGGCGGCCTGTTTTGCACGGAAACACGAACTAAGACTTACGCACTCCTATCGATGGCCACCAGTCCTGTCGCTTGGAAAACACACTTGCGTGTTGTGCATGATTCTTCATTGGGTGAAAGAATCGGTTGCACAGATCTGGTTGTTATTTGAGACAACACCAATGAAGAAAGCACCTAAATGTATCGTGTTTGCAATTGACTAATAACGTCTGAAGCGAAATGCGTCCTCCGAAGTGCTGGGGTCTCCTGAATGCCCTTGTTCCGGACAAGATCCCTGCTGATATCCCTCTGATCGGTGTGCAATGCGAGTGTTTGCTGCTCAACAATCTAGTCGAAGTTACTATCAAACAACGATATAAGAATACTTCTGCCAATCCCATCCAAGCAATCTATGTTTTCCCCGTGGACGATGAGGCTGCTGTCAACGGATTTACCGCACATCTTGGCCAGCGTACCGTTCGCGGAGTGATTGAGGAGCGCAAAGAAGCACGTCAAGCTTATGGTGCGGCGTTGGCGGAGGGTCATGGAGCTGCTCTCTTGGAAGCTGCTGGATCTGGTGCGTTGAAGGTCCAGTTGGGAAACCTGGAGGCTGGCAATGAAGCTGAGATCTGCATCGTTTATAGCAGCTTGTGCAGTATCGAGGAGAATGCAGTTGTTCTCCGTATTCCCACAACTATCAAAGAACGCTACATGCCAGCATCAGCTTGGGAGACTTTGCAAACGGAATGTCAGCCAACATACCGGCGTAGTGGTGTAGACTATGGTTTGAGTTTGCATGTAGACATGCACATGCCAAGTAGGATAGTGAGTGTGTCCTCGTCCACACATCCACTGAATGTTAGGAATGATGCTGAGGATGTGCATCACTGCACTGCCAAGTTGGGAGTGGAGAAAGTGGCCATGGATGGTGACGTGATTATCCGAGTGGAGCATTCTGACTTGCACAAGCCTGCTGTAGTTTTGTCCAGTCAGGCTGATGTTGACCAAGGCAGCGCCGCGCTAATGCTGACATTCATGCCAGAGTTTGAGGATTCCATAACCGAGCAAGCTGAGGACCTGGAGTTTGTTTTCTTGGTGGATCGCAGTGGATCGATGGGGTATGGAGGAGGAGTATCAACTCCTATCAGGCAATGTCGAGATGCTCTTCAGCTTTTCCTGAGAAGTTTGCCCGAAGGCTGTGCATTCAATATCGTTGGCTTCGGGAGTCGCTATGAGAAACTGTTTGAAGAAAGTCGCGTGTACGACTCCAAGAGTCTAGCAGACGCAGCCACCTACGTCTCAAAACTGGACAGCAACATGGGAGGTACGGAAATTCTCACTCCATTAAGGGACATCCTGACAAGAACAAGCTCCAAGCCCAGTCATGGGTTATTGTCCAAAATGAGGGGTGCAAGTAAAGATGAACATCGACATCGCAAGCTGTTCTTACTAACGGATGGTTCTGTGGGTAACACTGCCGAGATTATTCGTACTGTCAAGGACCATGCTCAGAGTACACGGGTATTCACATTTGGTGTCGGCGATGGAGCTGCTACTGACCTTGTTCGTGGTGTGGCTCGTGCTGGTCGAGGAGAAGCCTGCTTCATTCGCAACGGAGAGCCCATCGATGAGAAAGTGATCAGTCAGCTGTCAAAGTCCATGGAGCCAACACTGGAAGAGCTGGACATAGACTGGGGAATACTTCAGGTGAAAGAGCAGTCTCCAGCCAAGAAGGATCTTGCACCAATCTTCAACAACACACCATACATTGTGTTTGCACTTCTTTCCAAGGACAGTCAACACCAAGGTCAAGTCACATTGAAAGGCAAGATGAGCAAGAAAGCGGTCACGTTCACCGTGGATGTGACGCCATGGACAACAAGTCGAACGGATTGCCGCATACTTCACAGCCTTGCAGCAAAGCGCGTGATTCGAGACTTGGAAGAGAAAGACGGGCAGAGCAAGAAGGACATTATCTTAGCCCTGGCGTTAAGGTACGAGGTTGTATCATTGCAGACATCATTTCTTGCTATTGAGGAACGTGAGGAGATGAAGGAAGGTGTGATGACTACTGTCAGGGTACCACTCTCCCCCATCAAGGCCATGCCTGTTCAGGAGCAAGAGCAAGTTAGGTGGTCACCTCTTGCGCCACTTCATGGAGGAGGACTGCATGATGCAGGATCAGACTATGGTCATTTTCAAGGGGAAAGTTGTGAGGAGTACTGTTATGATGCTCTACATGTATGCACGTTTGATCGACCTCGGATGCGCCCGACGGCTAGTTATACATCATCACCCGAGAGTGGTGGGTGGATGGATCAGGAAGAGTGTTGCTTCCCAGATCCTGATTCACCAAATCTCACTGTGTCAGCTGATCACCAATCGGCATATCCACTGCAAACGATTGCATCACTCCAACACGTTAGTGGCTACTGGCTACTTGACGATAAGCTGTTGGCCACGGTTGGACTGTCGAAGAGTGATGTCATGGCTGCACAACCCAGTACACTGTCTTCATCATCATCAGCCGAACTCACCTCTAACGTATGGGCCACTGCTGTTGCACTGGCCTATCTACACGTGAAGTGCGGTAGCAAGGCAGCTGCATTTTCGCTCATGGAGAAGAAGGCGAAGAGATGGATGGCAGATCAGATATCAGCGTCGTCGCCTGCAGTCGCTGAACTGATTGCCACTGCAAAGTCACTGTTCTAGATACGAAGTTTCACCAAGACAATCATAGCATGGAGAAGGAAATATACTTTGTGATCGTTCATGCGAGTACCTCATCTGACATGTGTCTATTTTAAACTGCATGCTTGTAGTGTCACTCCTTGTCTGACTGCAGCTCTTACTCAATATTATTGTAGTGTCACTCGTTGTCTGCATCTCTAACTCAATATTATTGCAGTGTCAGGGAAATGAACGGCTTGTGATAGTTTTGACCTTCACCCTCACTCAATGATTGCATGCATTTCACACCACTCTCACATGCAGACAGTATTTACACCATCCTTCTAACTTGACACTTCGGTTCTTTTCACATTCTCATTGGTATTCTCTCCTTTTTATCCCTCGTGTTCTTCTCACATTCTCATTGGTATTCTTTCTACCACATTGTGCTGTAAAACAAGGCTCCTCTCAGTTGAGAGGGTGTGTTATTTCCAAGCTACTAATGCAATCTACTACACAGCTTACTTTCTCTTGTAAGTTTCTAAACCTTTCGTCCTTTCGTCCTTTCGTCCTTTCTTCTTTTCGTTTTTCACATTTCCTCTATGCTTACATTGGGCGCTTTCGATTACACATTTGGGCCCAGGTTTTATACTATAGTTCTCGAATGAACAGAGTGAACGGATTGTGGCCATGTAAACAAACGACTACATGTAAAAATACTAAAAGGGGATCTTGTGGGATCCCCGTTCACCCTCGCGCGCACGTGGACCTAGAAATAGAATGGCGTTATACGTCGAGTGCGTCAATCCTGGAATTAGCAATTCTGCTCAGGCTCTCTTCAGATTTGACGGAATTGGAATTGTAGACGGAATTTGTGTAATCGAACGGTGCATCCACCGTAACTAATTCTAGAATTGACCGAAATAATGTGTAATCGAGCGCGCCCATTGAAGCTCCGGCGAGTAGGTAATAGTTCAGAATGTTCCATCTCATGCAACGTGTTTGGGCTAGCTTTCTATTGCTTGCTGTCCTTATAATAATAATTATAAGGACACCAGGCTGTCGAGATAGAGTGGCACTGAAAAGAACATTAGTTTATCATCTTTTCAGTACCATTTTGAAAACGTTCACTGCAAAAAACGATCATCAGTAATTCGAAGTTGTGATGTATATATAACTGAACCTATCTATCTGTCTATTGCTTCACTATTCATTGATCATGCTGTAAGCCTACATGGGTAGTGTTTCACCCAGTATGACAGTTTGCCCTTTCATCAATCATCGTGGTCTGCTGCACACGATGCATGGATGCGTTTCCTTTGTTTTGCATTGTTTTCTGTATGCACGCTTTCAGTCTTATCATGCTATCGTTAGTTCCGGTATAGTGCGTGTTGCGAGTCTTGCGTGCTGTGCGTAGAAGTTGTACCACCGCACTCAGTATCGCTCTAGCCCGATAATCCATATGCATCTGAGTTGGCTGTACTCAGTTGCCTTTTGGGAACTCTTTGCCATGAGTTCATTAGTAGTTCTTATGTTGTCGTTTTGCTCTCAACTTGTTTTCTCTCTCTCTCTCTCTGAAATGTTCTTCCCTGAATAACAACTAATTACTTTCGTACTGCCTGTTGGTCGAGTTGGCGTGCATGCCTGCGTGACTGAAGTTCCATAACATCTGGTACCGAAACCCGCTGATACCTGGTGCGACTGTGTTGTCGTTTGGTGGTGGGCCTTGATTTGGAAATAATGTCGCTGAAACTCGATGGATTCCTGCGGACGTTCCGCGGAAAAGGAGATGACCTGGAGACGTTTTGGTCGAAGTTCCGTGTACTGGCGGATATTCAAAAGTGGGACACGGAGGAAAAACGGATGCAGCACCTGCCCCTGGTCCTAGATGGCCAGGCGTTCAAAGTCTTCATGTCCATGGCGGAGGCGGACAGGAAAAAGGAGGCAACCGTGAAAGCGCTACTTGAAAAGGCCTTCGCGCCTGCACCTGCTGATTCTTATCAGCAGTTCCTGTCCCGTCGCCTACGCCCTGACGAGGCTGTGGACGGCTACGTTGCTGACCTGAAGCACCACTTGAGCTTAGCTGGCCACAAGATTACAGACGACAAGGACCCGGTCCTTTTGGAGCAGGTGATTTGCGGCTTGCCACCGACGTTCGCGCGAGACATTCGTTTGCAGGGTGCTGGACAGGCCCTCTCCGTCAGTGACGTGACAGAGAAGGTTCGCGCTTTGCAACTGGTTGAAAGCGCTGCATCATCGCATGCCATTGGCGCTGCTGCCACCGAACCAGCGAAGTCTTTGTATTGTTACACGTGCGGGAAAACTGGGCATGTCAAGAAGACCTGCCGCGCTGGGAACCAGGAACCCTCCACGCAGAGCTCGTCAGCAGGCCCATCTTCCTCGAAGAGCAGCCGAGTTCGTTGCCATCATTGTCACGAGCTAGGCCACATCCGGAGAAACTGCCCGACCAGGAGAACACGGGGCACTGCGTCTGCTGGTGTTTCTGACCAGCCAGGAGGAAAAACCGATTGCTGTTTGGCCCTGACTACATCATCGTCTTCCCTCATCCGAGTGTACGTCGATGCCTGCCGCAAAAAACACGACGAGTGGACTCGCCTGAGTTCTGTGGTGGACACTGGTTGCACGCGCTCTCTCATCAGCCGTGCCGCGCTCCAGAAGTGCAATGGCTTGCGTTACATGGAACAGTGTCCGGACAACATGCTCGCCCTCAACGGTGAATCGCTGAAGATACTGGGTAGCGTCCTGCTGAACCTCCGTCGACTCGACGGACCTGTGCACTTGGACCTACTGCCTGCCGTATCTGTGCTGGTTGTCCCAGACTTGAGTGTCCTGAACACCGACATGGTCGTCGGCAACGATGTAGTGACCCGCGCTGGAGGTATGCACCTGCAATACGCTGACGGCTGTCTGTTGTCCGTCTCATTTGGCTGTGCCGCTGTGCCTGCTGCTGTTAGTGCTGCCGCTGATGTGCTACCTAAGCCAGCTGACAGTACTGCTCGCACCTCCAAGCTGTCCCGCCACGTCACGGTCAACCACTCTGGTGACGATGTCACACTAAGTGTTGATGATGGTGAGGTGCACTGGAATGCAGCCGCCGGCTACTGGAGCATGAAGTGGCACTGGAGGGACGACATGCCACCTGCTGAACCGATTGGGTCAGGGATTGGCGAATATCCCCGCGCCAAACTCACCGCCGATCAGGAGCTGCAGTTCAATGCTGAAGTAGATGCCTGGATCCAGCAAGGCTGGCTGGTACCACACGATGCGGATGTTCACGGACCACCGGGCGCCATCCTCCCATTGATTGCGAAGTGCCAAGAGCACAAGGCCTCAACACCGGTTCGCCCTGTACTGGACTACCGTGGGCTGAACCAGCTCATCCGCAACCACCCTGGGTGCAACACCCCTGTGTGCGGTGAGAAGCTGCGCAGCTGGCGACAGGCTGGTGACAATTTCCACATCCTGGATATACGGAAGGCGTACCTGCAGGTCCGTCTTGATCCGTCGCTGGCGAGGTTCCAGACCGTCATTTACAAGGGTAAGCCGTACGTCATGATGCGCATGGGCTTCGGCCTTGGGATTGCGCCAAAGCTGATGAGCCTGATCGTACAGTACGTCACTGGCCCCTACCCTACTGTCGACAGCTATGTTGACGACTTGTTCGTGCCTGATGATCTCGTCACCACGGTGGAAGACGAGATGGTGAAGTTTGGCCTACCCACCAAACCTGCTGAGTGCTTGCGATCAGCCCGCGTCCTTGGTCTCCAGCTTCACAGCTCGAACGACGTCCTGCAGTGGCGACGACGCACAGATGTCGACCTCTGCTGCCCAGCGAGCCCAACGAAGCGCGATGTGTTCCGCTGGTGTGGTCGCCTGCTTGGTCACAACCCTGTGTGCTCCTGGCTCAGGCCATACACTAGCTACCTGAAGAGGTTGGCTGACTCGCTCACTCCTGGAGGCTGGGACGCCAAGGTACCACCAGAAGTAGTAAGCCTCTGCCAAGAGCTGTCTGGTCGCGTTGAAGGAGAAGATCCGGTACACGGTGCCTGGTCCGCTCCACCTGCCGCACAATGGTCAGTATGGTGCGACGCATCCAACATTGCCACCGGAATTGTGGTGCAATGCGGTGCAGATGTCATCGAGGATGCGTGCTGGCTGCGTCCGAAGGATGATCGTACACACATCAATGTCGCCGAACTTGATTCGGTGATGAGTGGCCTTCAGCGTGCCACCGCCTACGGCCTCACGAGTGTGCGCCTCCTGACCGACTCCAAGACCGTGCATGGTTGGCTGTATAACCTGCTGCATGACATCCGCCGTGTCAAGACCAGCGGTCTGTATGATGTGCTCGTCCAACGCCGCTTGCAAGCTATTGACGAGCTTGTCCGCCTCACCGGCCTGTCTGTCGTGGTCGAATGGGTGCCCTCTGAACGCAACTTGGCTGATCGGCTGACAAGAGTACCCACTCCATGGTTGAAGCTCTGCCGTGCCAAGTCTGAGATGTGTGCTGTTGCTGGTGATACCACTAACCCCGCCGTGGCCCCGCCCATGGCTGTTGCCACTATCCGCGCAGCGCAGCAGAATGATGGACCGATTCTGGCTGCCATTCACGAGGTATCCAATGGGCTTCCTGTGTCGGCTGCATGCTACCGGAGAGTTGCTGCTCAGCTGGTCGTGAAGGCTGGCCTGCTTCGCCGAAGCGTGAAATTGCCCGATGGTGACATCGCTGAAGTGCCGGTGGTTCCCGAATCACTGACTGATGAGCTACTGGACAGGGCGCACAACAACACTGGGCATGGCGCATGGGAGTCCATGTATCGCACTCTCCGCCGACACTGCTATTTCCCGAGAATGGCTGAACGCTGCCAAGAAATCGTAAGCTGCTGTGCGCAGTGCTGCTGTGCTAACCCTCGCCGTGGTCAGATTCCTCCTCCGACTCGCACTGTACTGCCGGACCGACCCTGGAGTGTCATCCAGCTGGACACCCTGGAACTTGGCGCAAGTAAATCTGGTGAGTTCCATTCCGTTCTGGTCTGCATCGACATGTTCTCGAAATGGGTGGAAGTGGCTCCGCTACGCCGTCACGATGCGCAATCCGTGGCTGATGCATTCGTGCAGATTTGCACTCGCTGGGGCCCCCCTGATATGGTCCGTCTCGACAATGGCACTGAGTTCATCAACGCTATCGTCCGCTCTGTGTTTGCTATGTTTGGAGTCACCATCCAAACTGGAGCAGTACGCCATCCCCAATCGCAGGGCTGTGTTGAACGATTCAACAGGACACTGCTGACTCTGATGAGGAAGGTCCTATCCGAATCGTCTGACTGGAATGCTGATCTGAACACACTGCTGTACTTCTATCGTAACCGACCTCATTCCGCAACCAAGATTTCGCCGATGGAAGCCATCTGTGGTTGGACACCCCACCAGTTGATCGCTGATCCAGATCGGACTGTGAATGACGGCAGCAACTGGTCTCGGGATCACCCTGCTCGGTGTGCTCGACTGCGCGACCTCGTGGAATCCGAGTTATCCGACGCTGATCGCATCCAAGAGGAGACTGTGCCTGTCTATCACACTGGTGATCACGTTCTTCTCCGCCGTCCTGACCGTCACCAGAAGCGTCTACCGATGTATGAACCTGGTTGGCAAGTCATTCGTGTTCTGTCCCCCTCGACTGTGGTGATTCGACGGTGTGAACCTGTACGTGGTCGCAATGCTGAGAAAGTAGTGAATGTCGACCTGATCAAGCTCGACCCTCACCCCGTTGCCGCAGATGCAGATGTTGACTCTGCTGATGATCGTGATGACATCCCTGCTATCATCCAAATCGACATGGATCCGCAGCTTGACCAAGCCTACGGACTTCGTCGCCGGGCTGCAATCCGTCCTCCTCAGCGGTTCCGTGACTAATGTCATCAAGGGGAGAGGTGTGATGTATATATAACTGAACCTATCTATCTGTCTATTGCTTCACTATTCATTGATCATGCTGTAAGCCTACATGGGTAGTGTTTCACCCAGTATGACAGTTTGCCCTTTCATCAATCATCGTGGTCTGCTGCACACGATGCATGGATGCGTTTCCTTTGTTTTGCATTGTTTTCTGTATGCACGCTTTCAGTCTTATCATGCTATCGTTAGTTCCGGTATAGTGCGTGTTGCGAGTCTTGCGTGCTGTGCGTAGAAGTTGTACCACCGCACTCAGTATCGCTCTAGCCCGATAATCCATATGCATCTGAGTTGGCTGTACTCAGTTGCCTTTTGGGAACTCTTTGCCATGAGTTCATTAGTAGTTCTTATGTTGTCGTTTTGCTCTCAACTTGTTTTCTCTCTCTCTCTCTCTGAAATGTTCTTCCCTGAATAACAACTAATTACTTTCGTACTGCCTGTTGGTCGAGTTGGCGTGCATGCCTGCGTGACTGAAGTTCCATAACAAAGTACATTGTACACTCGTCATTGTTACTACATGTACTGGTAATGTCAATAAAGACCGGTCTTGAATGACTGTAAATGCCAAGGCAGTGGATAACTCCACAACTGTAGAGAACCAACAAGCAAGCCACCAAGCGTTGTGAGGAGCAACTTACTCAATTCCACTAATTAGAGGGTTATGATGCACTTTATTTCTGACAGGTGACGCGAAAGTTCAGCTCGCGTTATTAAAATTTTGGTTGGCGCGATGGAAAACAACGCGGGTGACCTGCAGCTCATGTCGAAATTTGGAGTTTTATGCCAAGTTTGATGTGAAATTGCGCGTCGCGTCAGAAATGACGTGTTTTTATTTATTAAGAAAGACAACGTTCAGAATACTCGCTGTTGAACAATGTACTTGCAATTTGAAATAATTGGCGTGTGAGTGGAGAAGAGTGGAGAAGAGTGGAGAAGAAGGCCTTAAGGGTGAGAAGCAGAATCCCGTCTTGTATAGATTACAGTGTACTGTACATCAACCACTACTCACCATGACTCCGCTCTCCTGCCGACCTCGACATGCTGTCACAGCAGACCATCAGCACTGCGACAATTCTGGTTTATCACAGCATTTTGCACCTGGTTCGTTTGTTCAGCCATAATATTTGCGCGGAAGGCGCGCAATTATGCTTCCCCTTTTGGTATAGGTACAAAAGGACGATATTCTCTATTTGTTAGCCATTCAACAATACCAACCTTCTCTGATGAGTTGATGATCAAAACAGCTGTATGAATGAACTGAGTACCAACGGAAGTGTCGCCTTTTTGCTGATGGTGTGCTGTGGCAATGTGTCGAGGTCAGCCGAAGAGCTGAGTTATTAACTTATGGTGTAGCCGTTGATGTACAATGGAGTGGAGAAGAAATAGTTACAGTAACAGCTGATGCCTTAAATAGAAATTGATACTTGGATATGCAACGATGGAGCTCCCTCTAAAATTCTTGTACTACTGAATAGGAAATTAATAAATGTAAGAGTGGCGGGCACTGGGCAGGCACAGGGTACCACTCCTGAAAAGCGATGAGAGGCATCTGTCATGACCATTGAACACTTACTTATTTGGGCAACGGTTGTAACTCAATGATAAACCTAGCTATGTGCCAAACGATCAGTAGTGCTATCAAGAATTGTAACATGGAAAAATGTGGGCACAAGTTATGCGGTCGAGTCCACCAATTAAATCAGATTTTGAACAGTCAGACGTGCACAATCTAGTTCAAAACGTACAAGGAACAAAACGGCGAAACGATCGTCGTGTGATACTATACATGTTATTGCAATTAGTTAGTCCATCATTGTCATCATTGTCATCATTGTCATCATTGTCATCAGCTAAGTACAGTACTGTAGTACAACATTGTCATCAGCTAAGTACAGTACTGTAGTACAACATTGTCATCAACTAAGTACAGTACTGTAGTACATCATTGTCATTAACTAAGTACAGTGCTGTAGTACAACATTGTCATCAACTAAGTACAGTGCTGTAGTACATCATTGTCATTAACTAAGTACAGTGCTGTAGTACAACATTGTCATCAACTAAGTACAGTACTGTAGGATACCGACGTTTGGTTTGTTACAATTCCGCCTCGCGAAGCTTCCCCTTCCTATCTTCATCTCTGATAATAATTGAGCCTCCCAAATTGAGTGGTTGTTGCTTTGCGTTGTCGAATTGTGGTTTGACCGTTCTGTCTGGTCTTGCCGTCCCGTCATTATACCAGGCAGCAGTCCATGAAGCCTTGGAATGTAGCTTGTGCTCGGCTCGATGGCGCTTACCTTCCCCTCTTTGGAATTAGCATTAATATCCATGAACCTTTCCAAGTAATAGTTGGAAGGCCGTTGGTTAGCGCTATCGAGCAGTGCTCAAGCTGACTTCCATGCTGTGGAATGTTTCAGTACTCCTTTTCAGTTTTGTGCTACACGTCTGATTGTTCAAAATCTGGTTTAATTGGTGGACTCGATCGCATAACTTGTGGCCACATTGTTCCATGTTACAATTTTTTCCTTGGCTCACCAGCTGAGTTCTTATTGCTATCAATACTGGTGGCGCTGCGCTGGGTGACAATCGTGTCAAAGCAAGAACATTTAGTGAATAAGCTGGGACGAATTTACTCTAGCACAGCTACTGTAGAACTATTCCGGACATTAGCTGCACTAGCACTTCTTCCCACTGATCAAGTAGTCCAAGAATTCCACAATCTGAGACAAGAACAGCACCAGAATTTGCCGTTACTGGATGTAGAGTTTCAGTACACTTTGCAACGAATTGGATCGAAGGGTGTCCATTGTCTTGATGGAACGTCCAACATCTTGGAACCCGAACGAATGACCACGTCGAAGGATGGCACACACGGTTCGCTTCAATTCAGTAGTTGGACGCTACCATCCTGGACTCCCATCCATCGCCAGTTACCGACCGCACAATCCTCAGCGTTCCCAGAATAGCACATTGCTGCAGCCACTGGATCAGGGACGCGTGGGGCCCAATTAAGGCTTAAGATGTGGCTGCGGCTCCTTCCTCACACACCACCCAGAGCACCAATGATAACTGGGACAATAGTTATCTTTTTGTTCCAGATCCTCCTTAGCTCTGCTGCCAAGGGCAGGTATTTACTGATTTTCTCCTGCACCTTCTCATTGACCATGTGGTCCAATGGGACACGGACGTCCAAGAGTAGTGCCTGATCATTCAGAACCAGCACCAGGTCTGGTCTGTTCGCTTCTATTACTCGATCTGTGGGAATGGAATTCTCCTACATGAGCTTGCAGCTGGTAGAACTTGTGACCTGTACCAGCTGCTCACTGCTAAGCAATCCATGTTGCTTACACAGCGCACGATACAGGGCCTGGACCACAAAGTTGTGCCGGGAAATGTATGCAGTCCGTGCCAGGGCTGGGCAGCAGGCGATGATGTGGTCCATATTTTCTCCGGGTGCTCCTCATACACGACAGAGGTCCACGACATCATGCCTCTTGTGGATATGGCGCATATTGTTTCTCGTGGCAATCACCTGATCCTGGCAAGCAATGAGAAATCCTTCCGTTTCAGGACGCATTGTCTGGGATCTGAAACAGGAAAACGAGAGCTGCATGTCTAGGATGTTATCAACACGTGCCCATTAGCGACCATGAAGAAGCATCGCTCGAAGTTCACGGCGGCGGTTGTCACTGAGGCCTGTTTAACAGTCACTTTGTTAGCGGTGTCCAGGCTCGTCAGGCGAAAGCATTATTACTCTGAAATGACCCAAAGGCAATATGCCTATCGAGGGGTTCATTTGATTGAAAGAACAGTACTACTAGCAGTAGTACTAGTTTGAGAGAGATACAGGCATATTTTGGCGAAGAAAGCATTAATATTAATTTAACGGCACTGGAAATTACATGAATACAACACTTGCATTGTATCTCTCTAACTACACGTGTACACGACAGTAGAATAGCAGGCTTAACACGTTGATACCGAGTAGTCTGAAATCTATCTGTAATACTAGTGAGCAACCGGGGAACATAAATAAATAAAATACAGTACAGCGGAAAGGTGAAAAATGAAAAGCTCTTCTGCTAGGTGACACGACAATGAATGCTGAGCTGCACGGTATAACAAGTTACAGACGACGGGCGAAAGTATGCAGTAAATACAACACATACATGTACAAGATAAGGTATTGGCAAGAAAAACCAAGTATGGTTTCTCCGTTACGTTCTATGGTCCCAGTGTCAACTGTCATGCATGGATGATTTTGAATATGCCATGGCGCCAGGAAGCGTAAACAATTGAACTTTTAGTGTACAATGTTTTTTTTGGTTTTGAAATGTACGAACCTTGTCGTCTAGACCAGTGGCAGTAGCCATGCGTCATGCTCTCACCGATCAGTCACTACATTATAGTATTACAGAAATCGATACCAAAAGTAACGATTCTCACTTATTCTCAAAGCTCAATATTAAGGGGGCAGCCTACCCATAAATTTCATAATGGCATTCAATTGACCGTAACTTTGGTGTTTCTCAATGGATTTGAGTGAAATTTTGACCACACACTCCTGCCACTATGCTGGCCCTCAGGACATGATTTACAAGTTCTTGCGCCTCACTGACAGGCTTTCCAGGCCGGAAAAACTCAAATTTCCGGCATAGTGCCATGGTGTGCGAGCCACCCAGGAGCCAAATAAATCGCGGCATTTACAATTTTTTCACATTTTCGTGCTCATTCTGTTCGTGCGCGGGACTCAAACCTAGAACAAGTCCAGAAGCAGCCATGGGTGATGGGGGTAGGGCCCCTCAACGAGGCCCTGGAATCTGTCACAACGGAACGAGTGGGCGTTCTCTCACACACTCCCACAGACCCAAGTCAATTTTTGAATTTTTTTAGGTTTAGCACGTGCTACGAGGTCGTACCTTTGATACAACATCCAGTGCTGGGACCTCCACAGCAAGCCA